TAACGTTGTTGGAGTATTGGTTACACTGTAAACGTCTAACGTTGTTGGAGTATTGGTTACACTGTAAACATCTAACGTTGTTGGAGCATTAGTTACACTGTAAACGTCTAACGTTGTTGGATTATTGGTTACACTGTAAACCTCTAACGTTGTTGGAGTATTGGTTACACTGTAAACGTCTAACGTTGTTGGAGTATTGGTTACACTGTAAACATCTAACGTTGTTGGAGCATTAGTTACACTGTAAACGTCTAACGTTGTTGGATTATTGGTTACACTGTAAACCTCTAACGTTGTTGGAGTATTGGTTACACTGTAAACCTCTAACGTTGTTGGAGTATTGGTTACACTGTAAACCTCTAACGTTGTTGGAGTATTGGTTACACTGTAAACCTCTAACGTTGTTGGAGTATTGGTTACACTGTAAACCTCTAACGTTGTTGGAGTATTGGTTACACTGTAAACCTCTAACGTTGTTGGAGTATTGGTTACACTGTAAACCTCTAACGTTGTTGGAGTATTGGTTACACTGTAAACCTCTAACGTTGTTGGAGTATTGGTTACACTGTAAACCTCTAACGTTGTTGGAGTATTGGTTACACTGTAAACCTCTAACGTTGTTGGAGTATTGGTTACACTGTAAACCTCTAACGTTGTTGGAGTATTGGTTACACTGTAAACCTCTAACGTTGTTGGAGTATTGGTTACACTGTAAACCTCTAACGTTGTTGGAGTATTGGTTACACTGTAAACCTCTAACGTTGTTGGAGTATTGGTTACACTGTAAACCTCTAACGTTGTTGGAGTATTGGTTACACTGTAAACCTCTAACGTTGTTGGAGTATTGGTTACACTGTAAACCTCTAACGTTGTTGGAGTATTGGTTACACTGTAAACCTCTAACGTTGTTGGAGTATTGGTTACACTGTAAACCTCTAACGTTGTTGGAGTATTGGTTACACTGTAAACCTCTAACGTTGTTGGAGTATTGGTTACACTGTAAACCTCTAACGTTGTTGGAGTATTGGTTACACTGTAAACCTCTAACGTTGTTGGAGTATTGGTTACACTGTAAACCTCTAACGTTGTTGGAGTATTGGTTACACTGTAAACCTCTAACGTTGTTGGAGTATTGGTTACACTGTAAACCTCTAACGTTGTTGGAGTATTGGTTACACTGTAAACATCTAACGTTGTTGGAGTATTGGTTACACTGTAAACCTCTAACGTTGTTGGAGTATTGGTTACACTGTAAACATCTAACGTTGTTGGAGCATTGGTTACGCTGTAAACCTCTAACGTTGTTGGAGCATTAGTTACACTGCAAACATCTAACGTTGTTGGAGCATTGATTACGCTGTAAACCTCTAACTTTTTTGGAGCATTAGTTACACTGTAAACATCTAACGTTGTTGGAGTATTGGTTACACTGTAAACCTCTAACGTTGTTGGAGTATTGGTTACACTGTAAACCTCTAACGTTGTTGGAGTATTGGTTACACTGTAAACCTTTAACGTTCTTGGAGTATTGGTTACACTGTAAACATCTAACGTTGTTGGAGTATTGGTTACACTGTAAATCTCTAACGTTGTTGGTGTATTGGTTACGCTGTAAACCTCTAACGTTGTTGGAGTATTAGTTACACTGTAAACCTCTAACGTTTTTGGATTATTGGTTACACTGTAAACCTCTAACGTTGTTGGAGTATTGGCTATACACTGTAAACATCTAACGTTGTTGGATTATTGGTTACACTGTAAACCTCTAACGTTTTTGGAGTATTGGTTACGCTGTAAAGCTCTAACGTTGTTCGAGTATTAGTTACACTATAAACCTCTAACGTTGTTCAAGTATTGGTTACACTATAATCCTCTAACGTTGTTAGATTATTGGTTACACTGTCATATAGTTTAGCTGAGACAAAAGGTTCTCCCAAACCCTGCCATAAATCATTTTAACGTTCCATCCCAACATTGAAATTTAAATATAACTCTCAAAATTAATTGAAAACACAAAATATTGAATGAACTGTTTGAAAAAAAAACGTTTACTTCATTCCATGCACATTCTTGAATGTAAAGGCCACAATTTAAGTCGGAAATCTTTGTTATGAAACACACACACGTATTTAGTACCGTTAAACAACCATCATAAGTATTTCGAATCACGACTATTTGTTCCTTACATTTCTAAAGTAAAAAAAAAATACCATATCATTAATATGAGAAATCGGTCAAAACTGTTGTAGAAAATTGGTCAATCAAAATGGATGTGAATGTTTCGATATTGTTCTCGACGCCTGCTTGACAACGCTCTAATAAACATTTCACAAATTCAAAAACAAACGGGTGATACTCGCTTTTGTCTCCCCTATATAGCACATGAAGCTGTACGCAAGCTCAAAAGCATTATCAATTGTGGAACCTTTTTTCAATAAAATGATTTGTGTTCGACTATCGAACAGTAAAGAAGACGAAAGGTAAAGGGGATGGGGTTGTATTTTGGCAATCAGTCTTTTAAATTCCATTGATGGTTTCTGTATGTGAAGCTCTTTTGTACAAGCGATGAGAACTAATGTACAAGCTGCGCGTGCAGCGAAATATATGTAGGACTGAAATTGATGTACGCCAAGAAATAACAATCAAACCGTTTGTTTCCATTATAGAATAAACCATCATGTTCATTCTTACACTTATTGTAACAAATATTGATATATTTTTACGACTTGGAGGCTTATACAACAAAGTCAGCGAATAATTACCGTGAATTTATCATTTGAAGCACATGAATAAAACATACGACGTCTCAAACACAACGTACAATCTAATTGTCCAGGTATAAACCTTGGTAAAAGCAAACAGCCAATCAAATTTAGTTCATACTTGTATTAGGTGTAGCACCAATTTGGACCACCTACATTCGATCTCACTAAAATTGATGCGTTCTCAACACGACTTCTCACCCCAGCACGAGTTCTCACCCCATCACGAGTTCTCACCCGGGTGCCGTAACAGTCACTCCATACTCTGTTTGGTTTGGTTGTATATGGTTTAACGTCCCATAAACAGCGAAGTTCATTTAAATATGTTCACAGAGTATTGCTGTCTGATTCACATCTAAGCAACACACAAAACTTACCATATATGAAGTTTATTTCGTTAAACCGTAATCCTTACTACGTTTAAAAATTGTTTTCAGGAAAAATATGTTCATATTTTCGATGTTTTTACGTATTTGATAAATTGATTAATACACCAATAAAACGAGCCCTTGGAATTCTATGCAATTAGTATTAAGTGATCGGTCAAGTGCTGAAGACCAGTTTTGTTTACATGTACGTGATTCAATGTTTTCACACTTTACGGTCTCAAATGTTGAGCGTTATCTTCGCTATCAATGAAGTCCATTCTTTTGCCCCAAATGGAAGCCGTATAGAGATTAATTTCTGGTTAATGCTCTTGTCTCATCCTATTAAACGCCGCAAAGACTTTTTGTATTTAAATGAACTGCATTTTGTAGTTTCTGAGGACAGTCACAATGAAACCTCTCCTCTGCTACGGTCATTTTGAAAAATGAAACAAAGATTCCAAAATGACAAAGGCAAGTCAAAACTACAGACAACCCAACTTGAAAATAGCAGCGCCACCTTTATTTGTCTGCGACAATGTTTGAAAGTTTAGTAAAACTAGCCACGGTTTGTATTGATGTCTCAATTCTACTGTTGCGTCTCCCTGACTATAGCGGAATTTCCTGCCCACGTGCCAACGTGATCAGGCTGCTAAAAGACGTAGCTACGAGGCTGGATCAGCATTTTAATTGAAATTATGTGGATGTATGGTCAAGTTGATAGATTAAACGGATGTCTGGTTTTGGAAACAACATCATCTAGAGCCGACACTTTTTTACGAATGTTTAAAAGATGGCTCCGGTGAGCTCTCCTGCATAATAACGTAGTGCTATATAGGAGGAATTCACACAAAAGTAGGTCATACGAACGCGACATCCATTACATAAGTCTAATTCCGTAGACACAGTGGACCGAAAACACCGACAAAGTCGTCTGATTAACATGGCCTCAGTGATGAAATCGAGGCTGTCCTTCAATGATTACATCCGGGTACTAGTGCAGTGTTATGAGTGCGCGGAGAAGTGCGGTACAGTAGTGGTTAAGTCTGGATTTGTAAGACAGTACTATACATGCCATAAAACAATTGAGACACATCGTGATAGCATTGCAAACATTTTCTCCTCATTGTTGTTTCAAACTCCTAGCACAATAGGTCTGACAAACAAAACATATCCAAACAAAAATTAACAAAATCTGCATGATTTAAGATTCGTACTCTACCAAAGTTTTGCCCTCAAGCAAAGAGCGCAAATCGTTCCTGACGTTAAATTATAGAAAGATATTTACTTCCTTTCTTCTGAGATCAAAGCTATGCATACTACGGCTTTAATTAACGAAGATGGATCAATTTTTTGCGTATGTTACCTTTTTTCTAAGTAGTAATCGTATTTTGTGGCCAACATGTTTCTTCAACAAAAATCATAAAGAACATCGGAGGTTAGCTGGGCGTTATTTCCCTACTATGACCGATTGAATACAGATGTTATTGATATTGGTTCTAACGGAACATACTTTATTTAGAAATTTTTGTATTCGACATCCGAGGAACTTTAATGACGACAAGCATTTGATGAAATTTGCACCTGGTGTAATTATAAGATCTGTCCTCTACAATGTAGATTTGATCCCTGGGACGAAAGCCTACAAGGAACTCTTATATACAAGTTGGAACATTACAATCCATGACTTTATAAATTGTTCTTTTGGTTTCCAAAGTGTCTTTACAGGATAGTAGCTGATCTGAAGATACACAACCGAAACAACTTTATTTGTACATTACTTCAATCCTGCGAAATACCTTTGTTTGACTAGGTAGACGAGAGACGCCTGGCAAGAGTACAAGTGATATATAAACTCGATTTATGAACTAACCTGTCAATCAGTTTTCTTTGCCCTTTCTCCTGTCCGGCGTACGGTTATTTTCCACGAGCAGTATCTGAAATTATTTGTACAGCATTTTATATTATTTTAGATAAAACATGTATGTGTGCGTACATTACACCGGCCGGTACGATTGTGTTCATATTCCATATCTTATTAGTTGTATCGTTTGTGTTTGCATAGTTTAATACGTGTACAGACTAATATATGAGCTGGACATGTTGTAAAGCCTTCTGCCACACCGATGTGATTATTTCATTATAAATCATACAAATCCCAATATGTCAATATCCTTTATGATGTCCTGTAATAGTGTGTACGTCCGTGAATGGTTTTCACCATTTACAAATTACGTCAAAAGTAAATGTCAATAGGTCATACTCTTATAATATTTGTGTAAAGGTAAATTGTTCTACATTTTGTAAATAATAGATAAGGGAATAGTGTATCTCCTATTTCCAATTCATTATTTGTTGTTATATTATTTACAGTTAAATGACGTATTTTACAGCTAAGTGTTAATTGTCAGATTGTACTCGTATCTGTTATATATGTATCGATAGCGTTATGTTTACGTATAGTAAGAGTCTGTTGCAGGGTAAGATTTATCTACAGTAAACCACTGGTTCAGAATCAAAACGTCGAGCTTGGGTTGTTTATAGATCTATCTGCTCTTGTTGACCCTGAACTTTTAAACCTTATACGGAATTATAAACCATTAATTGGTTTGTTACATGTATAATACATATTGTATATTATTTTACGATGAAAGGTTTGGCGTTGTTAAGGGAATAAAGAAAGCCAGTTGTTGGGAGATGTTCGTAAAATTTACTAATGAACGACCAAAGACTAGTGCGAACAATTGGTTACTTAGCATTTAACCCGTTTCTATGGCGATAGTAACCAACCGTTAGTGGATAATGATCTACTTACCTGTTACTAGGGTCTTGTTCTATTGTTTAATTATTGGATTATTAGTTTGTGTATCACGTATAATATGTTTATACATAAACAAATACAGCTTTCAAGCATTCGACTCCGTTACGGTTTACCAGCCGCCTGGCTGTCTATTGGAAGGAATTCATCCGATAGAAGACGGAAAGTATCTCTGAACGTTAAGAATCCCCGCCATATCAAATTGTAGAGGGAGGTCGGTCTCGCGCACTATAACAAATAGTCAATAACTAACACCTCTGACCAAACATTTCTACTTGACCAAGGATAAGCATTCATTTCTTATACAGTTAATGTGCAGACATGTAATTTAATTGTATATTTTACTTTAATAGTTTGAATGTAGAGTGTTTACTGTGTATTTGATATCTTTTCAAAAGGAACATTTTAGATGTAAGGTTTTTGTTGTATTCTTAGATAAAACTTCAGGCTGTTATCGGAAAGAGACGGATATCGAATTACCACTCGGTGTTCGAAACAAGATCCCCGTTGAAAGTCTAATATTCACATTGGTACTACAACACACCGTTCTTGTTCTTAATGGTCAAAACATTTACTTGTTACTTATTAGCATTTATCTTGAATTATTTGTTAGAAAAATTATGCAAGGCTTTTTTGCTAAAAAGGTGCTTTATTGATGATTTACTTAGTGAGTGCCAATGGCATAGTGGTGGGAAAAATCTGAGTACTAACCTTGTGAAAACATATGACACTCGTTTTCGTCGCAAAGTTGCAGTGTAAAATATGACTTTCACTTTCGTTTGATTGATGCATGACAAGCATGTATGATCTCTGGAACCAATGTGCTAAAAAGAGCACGAAGTGATTTTGACAATAAGGGGACTTGGAGTTGTATCCATTGTTTGGTACCAGGAAGATTCCTGGGGTTTACTAGTCTGAACTAGTTTGTCAAGCAGTGATGACAGGAAACTAAGAAAAGCACTGTTTGATTGATTATTTTTTAATTCACCAATAATATGCAACTGCAAAAATATGGAAAGATTTTAACTCATTACATATATGGTTCGTTTGCAAGAGAAATGAAGAGTTTACACCTAAAGGGATTGTCTCAAAGAGATGAATACAATCATGTCAGAAAAAAATTGGACATCAATATTTCTGCACGAATCTGTTGAAGGTATTGTCATGACAAACACTTCATGAAATTTTCAATGAAATCGCTAGGGCGATGACAAAGTTATTCTCTAAAAAGTAACAGTGACCTTGACCTTGACCCAAAACGCAAACTTGTCTAAGGCATTGCCATACGAAATACTCGTACGAAGTTTCATGAAATTCCGTTGAGAAATGAAGTCGCTAGAGCGATGACAAAGAGTGTAACATACGAACGGGCTGAATCCTATATCCCCTCGAACTTTTATTGTGAGGGGATAACAAGACGCTGCCCTATGGATTAGAAAAACGATCACGGTTCAAATTCATTCTGTTGTATATCTATTTTTTAAAGATTTAAAATTTTGTAAGAAATACCATGAAGATAGTTAAAACAAATTTTTTGTTTTGTAATTTCTATATGTTTATAAGGAAAATAACATGTTCTGCTTAAAGTCAAGAGACATTTTGAAGATTAAGAAAAGATTATGTGAAGGAACAGATTATTAGGCAAAGGAAAATGTCAGTTTAAATGAAAAATTAAGAAAGGTCATATATGGCAAATTAATGTTGTAAATTCTTAAAAATAAATAAAACGCCCACAAACTGGGAATGCTAGAGACAACAAAGAAACGTAGTTTCTTATATTGAATCAAATGTACCCGGATAAACAGAAGCGCAGAACTATAATCATGAAACAACTATGAGTGACCAACTTACTGACCCCCCCTCCCCCGATGTTTTAAAATCCTTTCAGCAATCTTCAGAGACGACCCTATCAATATTAATTAAGAACTATCGCATCGCCTTGGACAGTACTCAGTAAATCGTTGCCATCTATGTGGTCTCGTCTAAGACTTTCGGATGCCTCTTCAAGATTTGTTACTGAACGAACTCTAGAATAAAAACGGATGGACTGACCTGTGGCTTGTTGGGTTGGTAACTACAGTAGATACATAGGAAGTTTGAAAATGGCTCTGAGTGCAGCCACAGGTTAAAAGTACTCATAAAGTGGTTCCGAGAGCTCAATTATTTATTCGAACCTTTTTGATATCTTTGTAAATGAACATTTTCTTTCAAGGTAAGTCATCATTGTTTGTTTGATTTCCGCGACATCTAAGGTGGTCGAAGGTAAGTCATCATTGTATGTTTGATTTCCGCGACATCTAACGTAAGTGATCATTGTTTGTTTGATTTACGCGACATCTAAGGTAGTCCTCATTGTTTTGTTTGATTTCTGCGACATCTAAGGAAGTCTAAGGTAAGTCATCATTGTATGTTTGATTTCCGCGACATTTAAGGATCATTGAATGTTTGATTTCCGCGTCATCTAAGGTAGTCGAAGGTCAGTGATCATTGTTTTGTTCGATTTCCGCGACATCTAACGTAAGTGATCATTGTTTTATTTGATTTCCGCGACATTTAAGGATCATTGAATGTTTGATTTCCGCGACATCTAAGGTAGTCATCATTGTTTTGTTTGATTTCCGCGACATCTAAGTTAGTCGAAGGTAAGTGATCATTGAATGTTTGATTTCCGCGACATCTAAGGTAAGTGATCATTGTTTTGTGTGAGTTCCGCGACATCTAAGGAAAGGGATCATTGTTTTGTTTGTTTTCCGCGACATCTAAGGTGGTCGAAGGTAAGTCATCATTGTCTGCTTGATTTCCGCGACATCTAAGTTAAGTCATCATTGTTTGTTTGATTTCCGCGACATCTAAGGTAGTCGAAGGTAAGTGATCATTGTATGCTTGATTTCCGCGACATCTAAGGTAAGTGATCATTGTTTGTTTGATTTCCGCGACATCTAAGGTAGTCATCATTGTTTGTTTGATTTCCGCGACTTCTAAAGTAGTCGAAGGTAAGTGATCATTGTTTTGTTTGAGTTCCGCGACATCTAAGGAAGTCGAAGGTAAGTGATCATTGTATGTTTGATTTCCGCGACATCTAAGATAGTCGAAGGTATGTGATCATTGTATGTTTGTTTTCTGCGACATCTAAGGTAAATGATCATTGTTTTGTGTGAGTTCCGCGACATCTAAGTTAAGTCATCATTGTATGTTTGTTTTCTGCGACATCTAAGGTAGACAAAGGTAAGTGATCATAGTGATCATTGTTTTGTTTAATTTCCGCGGCATCTAAGGTAGGCAAAGGTAATTGATCATTGTTGTTTGATTTCCGCAACATCTAAGGAAGTCGAAGGTAAGTGGTCATTGTTGTTTAATTTCCACGACATCTAAGGTAGGCAAAGGTAATTGATCATTGTTGTTTGATTTCCGCGAAATCTAAGATAGTCGAAGGCAAGTGATCATTGTATGTTTGTTTTCTGCGACATCTAAGGTATTCAAAGGTAAGTGATCATAGTGATCATTGTTTTGTTTGATTTCTGCGACATCTAAGGTATTCAAAGGTAAGTGATCATTGAATGTTTGATTTCCGCGTCATCTAAGGTAGTCGAAGGTAAGTGATCATTGTATGTTTGATTTCCGCGAAATCTAAGATAGTCGAAGGTAAGTGATCATTGTATGTTTGATTTCCGCGACATCTAAGGGAGTCGAAGGTAAGTGATCATTGTATGTTTGATTTCCGCGACATCTAAGGTAGTCATCATTGTTTTGTTTAATTTCCGCGACATCTAAGGTAGTCGAAGGTAAGTGATCATTGTTGTTTAATTTCCGCGACATCTAAGGTAGTCATCATTGTCTATTTGATTTCTGCGAAAGACGCGGAAATCAAACATACAATGACGACTTACCTTAGATGTCGCAGAAATCAAACATACAATGACGACTTACCTTAGATGTCGCAGAAATCAAACATACAATGACGACTTACCTTAGATGTCGCGGAAATAAAACAACACAATGATGACTTACCTTAGATGTAACAAACAATGATGGCTTACCTTAGATGTCGCGGAAAAAGAACAAAACAATGATGACTTGCCTTAGATGTCGCGGAAATCTAACAAACAATGATGACTTACG